CGCCGAGGAGAGGCCCTGGAGGCGCCTCCTGAGCCTTCCCGCCGTGCTCCTCGCCGAGGATGGCGCCGTTTTCAGCAGCTTCCCCCGAAGGCCGCCCGGGGAACAATGGGGCCCTTTGCCCGCGCAGCGCTTCCCCTTCCCACCCCTCCCTAAGTAACCCGGGGCTGCAGAGAAACTTCCCCCAAAGTTGGGGGCAATAGAAATCAATCTCCCCAAGACGTTCTGATTCAGAAGTAACATTTAAATTAAATTTTAATTAAACAGTGGAAACAAGACAGCATTTTGGAGGGGGGGATCGTATTTTACTGATTTTTAAACATCCCTTGCACTCCCCTGAGGTACTCACATGCACACAGGAACACTTCTAGGGAAGGATCTCTTTCCGAATACCAGTTCATTTTGCTATTGCAGCTTTGCAGAAAGCAAGTCAGCTGAATTATTCTCTGCTTAGGTGAATAAGCCATCGTTGTCTGTTAAATAAATAGGAATTTTCTTTTTTTGTTTTTCTTCTGTCTTAGCAATGCATCGTGACTCTTGTCCGCTGGACTGCAAGGTTTATGTGGGTAACCTTGGCAACAATGGCAACAAAACGGAGTTAGAGCGAGCTTTTGGCTACTATGGACCACTGCGCAGCGTCTGGGTGGCAAGAAATCCTCCTGGCTTTGCCTTTGTGGAATTTGAAGATCCACGCGATGCAGCTGATGCTGTGAGAGAACTAGATGGAAGGTAAAATGTGCAGCTTATAATGTGGTTCGCTTAATGAAAATAACCAAGTGCAGCTAGTGGTAGCGTTTAAAGGTGGGCAGCTTCAAAGCCAAACATTTAATAATGCATCTGTTAATGCAGAATTATTTGTGCAGTGATGTAAGAGCTTTATACTGCAAGATTAACACTGGGAGAGCTGATTGAACATTTTAGACTTAAACTCTGAAGTTGGCTGTGTCATTTATATCAATTCAGCTCAAGATGGTGTTTCAATAAAGATGCAGGAACTGATAAGTGGAACTCCTCCAGGTTCCTTCCCTGCCCACTTTAGTAGTTCGAGCTTTCAGAATTGGCCAGACCTTTAATTGGTCGTGCTGTGGTCTGTTTTTTAAAATTCTGTGAAAGGTAAGGTGTGTTTGGCTAAAAAGATGATGGAGATCATTTCCCTCATCTCCACCATGGGGGTTCATTCCTCTATGAACGTTGTCTTTTGTGCAAACAGGGTTGTTGAGAGGAAAGCTAATGAAGGGCGCTTCCTTTTTCAGAACCCTCTGTGGGTGTCGAGTCAGAGTGGAGCTCTCCAATGGTGAAAAGCGGAGTCGGAACCGTGGTCCCCCTCCGTCCTGGGGCAGGCGCCCTCGAGATGACTATCGCAGGAGAAGTCCTCCTCCTCGCCGCAGGTACCCTGGGGTCAGAGTACCCTCATAGAGCAGTTGGCACTGTTACCACTTAGCATCATAGAAGCAGGCTTTGTAAAGCATGTTGATGGATAACATTCATCTATCTGATCACAATTTGGAGATGCCAAATGCTAAAAAACCAAAATGGAGGTGAACATAAGTTGTGTTGAATGTTGGCTTTTGTCCTTAGGTCACTGTGCAAGTTGGTAGTCAGCGCCCTCTGTCCTGGATTTATCCTCTTTCCTCCCCAAATCCGCTCATCTTCTAGCCACACTTTCCCGTTCTTCCCCATACTTCAACTTAGGCTGTTCCTTTCCTTTATTCCATAATGGCAAAACATTACATACGGCAACTTAGCTTTTTCATACAGAAGTATTTCTCCTCTTTATTTGCACAATTTAAATACTCCAAGTAGGCAGCTGTTGCAATAATAAATCAAGTAACAGTTGCTCTAAACATCCAAAACCTAAGAACTCTAGCATCAATTTTAAATGAAATCATCACGTGACAATCCTGTCGCTTGAGATTTGCAAACCCAGGTCTAAAATAGAGCAGGATTTTTGGTAACTGGCACATTCTTGGACCCAGACTAGGTTGTCTGGCTGTTAACTGCAGCATGGCTCTTGCAGGACTGAGTTGACCTGTTGCAGGTGAGTGAAGTCCTCACAAGTCAGGGTCTCGAGCTTACCCTTTTGCTGTTGAAAAAATAACACAGTAGGAGTAATTGTTAGCTAATAGATGGTTGTACTGATGGCTTGTTTTTCATTTTTTTTATGCTTTTTGGTCCATCTATTAATAAAAATGAACCCGTTACAGAGTCACCATCATGTCTCTTCTCACCACCCTCTGAGTCTGCATTAGCCAGTCAACTAGCCCTTTCAGCGTCATGTGACCAGCGCGCCCCATGCAGCTTGGCTGGTGTCGTTTCACATGACCCAGGCATGGCCAGTCGTCAGGTTGCACCGCCCTTTGGTTCCCGAGCATGCTGTTTTCTCTCAGCCTTCTCTCCAACCTTAACCAAATCGGCAGCAGCCACCTCGACCGCCCACACATTCCCGGCCAATCAGCTCAGCTGTTTATTTACCAAATGTCTTCACAACAACTACAGCAGCAGCCTTCGGCTAACAAAAAAGCAGGAAAAATCCACAACACCCCCTTCGCCAACCAACTAAATACAACGCAACATCTGGCAAAACCTTTTCAGCAAATTCTTCTTGGCAGTCAGTCCGGCAGCCTCACCTCACCATTTCTAGCTTGTTGAAACCAAAAACTAGTAAGTTTTTCCTGCTTATACAGTTTACTGCTGGTTAAAATAAGGAGTAAGCGGCTTATAAGTAATTACTTTTCTCAATCAAAGGCTGGCTGTGCATAATTTGAGTGGTAACGTACATATGTTGCTTGAGAAAACTTTTAAGGGTGATACGGAAGCTCTTACACTGTAAATAAAACAACGTGAAAACCAGTATATTTGCATGTGAGATGCCAAGCTAAATTTTTAATAAAGCTCTAACAAACTTAGCTTTTCCTTGCCAAAAAAATCCTATCACCTTTAAATGGTTTTACTAACAGTTTTCAAAACTTAAAACAATTACTTTTTGGGATGAACTGGGCCGAGCTAAGTTTTTGTTTTTTTCTTTTTTCTTTTTTTTTTTTTTTTTTAAAGAAAGTCTAAACACACTTTTTGGCATTAAGAATGACAATCACAAATATGCAGTTCTAATGTAGCACTTAATGGCATTATCAATATTTACACTGAGCGCATTTTCACTTTTTTCCACTTGGTATCTCTGATGTCTTGTTGTGGACCTTTTTGGCTTGCATGGGTTCCAAAACATTTGGTCTGTGCTATTTTTTTTTTTCTTTTTCCTTTTTTTTTGGAACCACTCGTGGGACTTTGGTGTGGTGTTCTGGGCAGTGTATTTAGTTGAAATGGAAGTGTTGCATTGGACAACTCTGCTATGAAGCATTCGTAGTTAAAGTGATTCGTGGTTGGAAACGTGCTGTTCACACTGAGCTTTGTTTTACTGCCTAATCTTTCCATGCGTTTTACTGGATGATGGATGCCAGTTATTCTTGGCACGTTCCCTGGGCCCAACAGTGAGTTTGACAAGTTGGGAAATGCCTCACTCCATGAATGCAGCAAGAATTGGTAAAAAGCCTCACTTCTTTCTTTCTGGTTCTAGATCACCACGAAGGAGAAGCTTTTCGCGTAGCCGCAGCAGGTATGTAGCAGATTCATCCACACTCTCAAAAGTTGATTCTGGGGTAGTAAAGATGTGAGGATAGGAGTTGCAGCTCAACAAAGGAGAAAAACGGGTTTGCTTCTGTTGCAGCGCTTGTCAAGAATTTAATATATTTGCACAGCTTTTTGAGATTAAAGGGTTATTGTCTGAAATACAGAAGCAAATGAGGAAATACAAAAAATGGAAACAAATACCTTTTGTGTTCGCAGCTTTCCAGGGTCCCCAGTGCTTCTTTGAATTTTTCATGCTAAAAAGCTACTTTCCTGCAGGTGCTGTGCACCTTAAGTATACATTATGTGAAACAGAGTTGCTAGTAAGCGTGTTATCTTTTCATGTAGTATGAAATGATAGGTGCTACTGCAGTTCTTAGAGGATTTTTGAAGCCTTGGGCATTTAGATGCCATTCTTACGTTCACATGGTGTAGGATGCTGCATCCCTGCAAGGAAACCAAAAAGTGAAGGGATTCTGTGCACTCCTTTTTTCTGTAGCTGAGGCAACAAGTGCCACTTTATGACTCTGAAAAGCTACTGCTGCAGAGGACTGGGTGACTGTTCACAGTGTAACTTAGGCAGTACTGAATGGCTCAAGTTGATCAATCCTACCTGAAGGAAAGGCTAATACTATAATCTGAAACCATTTTTTTTTCTCTGACCGAATAGTTAAAACTTTAACTCTCTAAAGGGAACCTCTTCAGATAGTTCTGTAAGCTACGTGACTTCACTTTGCTCCGATGCTGCATTCATCTTTATTGTAATTTTTAATAGGTCCCTCTCCAGAGACAGAAGAAGAGAGAGATCGCTCTCACGGGAGAGGAACCACAAGCCTTCTCGCTCCTTCTCCAGGTCTCGCAGGTAGGACTAGCTACATGCTAATTAAGTATTTTGAATAAATCGGTACAAATTTCAGTTTCTTGTGGGAAAACTGCAATAGGAAAAGCATCTCTTGAGTATGTCTTAGGATGCTCTTTATTTGAGGCAGTAGATAATCGATTTTCATTTAAAAAGCAGTAATTTAAACTGCTTCAAAGTTGTGTACTGAATTGGGCTGGGATGTTTCAAATGAAATGTGCAGTTCTTGCCACTCTGCAACTAATCCATGTTTTCTTCTTCAGTCGCTCCAGGTCAAATGAGAGGAAATAGGACTTTCAGAAGGAGCTGTGTACAGGAAGTCATTAGATCTGAGGACAGGAGGAGTATGTACAGAACATTGTTTTGTTTTGAAACTTCATAAAGCTTGGCGCATTTTTAAAATGTTTTAGCTGTTGAACTTGCTTTGTTCCTTGTATCTTGTAACAGGTGACAAATGTAAAGATGTGAATCTGTATATGGTTCTAAGCAGATCATATGATTTGTAATATTAATTACTTTTCAATGTACCCTTATACATAGTTTTTGTTTGTGTGTTGAATGGTAATCAGTTTGTCTTGCATAGATAGAAGAATGTTTCTGGTCCTATTCTGGAGTGTCTTTTGTTGGAGTTCAGCTTTTGGAAGGAAGTTTGCAATGAAGGTAGTAGTTAATTGCAAGAATATGGCCATAAATAATGTTCAGTCTATGCAGAACAAGAAGTAGATGTTTCATAGTGCAGTTCTCGGAAAGAGAGTCGGGAATGTCAAGCCAACGGCAAGTAAAGGGAATGACTGAGCTGTGCTTTTATCCAGAGCTCTAGTTCTGACTTCCCGTTACCTGGAACAGAGCTACCTTATATTATGTGAAATGTAAATTTTTAGCCCTGGAGTCGGTCAATTTTGTACTTATTGTGACTAGACTACGTCTTAACTAGATGATTGCTTGATTAACCATCTATTCCAGAACCTCTGAATAGACCAAATATGCAACAGAACTGACAACTGGAGTGGATGAGTTGAATGTATAATGGTACATTGTAAAAGTTATGAATTAAACATTTCTTTACTGTACAAGAATTTTCATGTCACTTGTAAAATGTCTTTTGTGAGATCCTTGGGATTAAAGTTTTGGTTACAAATTGTTGTTTAGTATTTAACTTGACTAGCCAGCATACACAGCAGAACACTTGCTTGCATAGCCTGGTCCAGCTTGCATCAAGTTAAATGCCATCTGCAAGAGGGAGTAAAATTACACTCATCCTCACTGTCATACATCTGCAACACCTAGACTCTGTCATGTGTTTCAGGTGTTAAATGCTGGTCACCACCTGCATTTGATTGTCAAATACCACTTGGCACCTAGGCAAGAGGCAGAACCTCTTTCTATTACTACAAACTGTGTCAGCTTTAGAAATAGAGCATAGATGAGGTTGGGAGAGGGGAGCTTGAACTCCTGTCTGCTTGTGAGCCCCAGCAGGGCTTGCTGGAGAAGCAACAAGAGTTTGGAAGGCTTCTCTACCTCTTTTCTTCCTAGTAGGGTTGTTACATTTAAGTCCGTAAGCTGAAGCCTTGCATGAAGATTCAGCCCCCAGCGCAAAGTTGTGCTGTGGTTAAGCGTAATTAGAGCTCTCTGCCTGCCTCACTGCTGCTCTTCCCCCTTGTATCCAACAGAGGATGAGCTACAGCACAGCTTTAATCAGCTGCGTTTAGATTGAATCCTAATCTGTTACCAGTCCTCTTCTAATTTCCTCCATGTGTGTGATAATCCAGAGAGGAGAAACTGAGTGCAGCAGTTTCCCAGAAAAGCGTGTCTGTGTTAAAGGGAGGGTGCAGGAAGCAGCAAAGCAGCTTCAGAGCGTGCAGCGGTGCGGGGCAGCGGCTCTGCACCCTCCTCGCTACCCGGCAGAGGTCGGGCTGCCCCGTGGGCACACGTGGCTCCCTCAAACCATCCATGGCTCCTGCAGGGACGTTTCTGGCTGATGACAGGCAGCCAGGGGCTGTGATGACACTGTGAGCCACACACAGCCGCACTCCTGTGTTTTAGTATGTTGTTCTGCCCTGGGATGACTGCAGAGGGGCTGCAGCTCCTTGCCCGTGAGAGCATCTCCCGCTGGCACCGCGTCCGCTCGTTCAGCTCGCGGGAGCAGCCGCCTTCCGGGAGCTCAAAGCACCCGAGGAGGGAGGGGAACCTGCAGCGCCTCGCTCGGAAGAAGGGCCGGATCCTCGTGCGCAAGGAAGGCTGCAGAACGGGGGGTGCTTCTCAGCTTTGGATTTCTGACTTCTATAGGTTGCTTCCTCAAAATTAAAATTGAGGAAATGTTTCTGTTGGCCTTAATCGATGGAGCGCTTACTTGGCTGTGCTTGTTGTCAAGCAGAAAGTAAGGCCAAAGAAAAAAGTAAGGAATCTTTCCCTTGAGTAGCCGATTTTCCTTGAAAACTATTAAAATCATTCAGTAAAGCAGATCCATTAAACAAAGCATCCCAGCACCCTCAGCTAGCTAAGACACATCCCTACTTCTAGAAACACATGTAATTGCCCTGTTTTCTGTTTAATTTCCAAAGTTTCGGCTAGGCTGCTCTCCTGGGCTGCTCTAGGCACTTGTCGTGGTTGCAGATTTGCCGTTCCGGCCGACCCCTGTTCCGGACTGTTTCTAACATCAGATGTGGACAAGTCACGAAGGGGGCGGCGCAGCGGGAAGGAACACCGTGTTCCGGGTGATTCGGTCGTCTCTTATTTACTGATCTAGCAGTAATTTCCAAAGTTTCGGCTAGGCTGCTCTCCTGGGCTGCTCTAGGCACTTGTCGTGGTTGCAGATTTGCCGTTCCGGCCGACCCCTGTTCCGGACTGTTTCTAACATCAGATGTGGACAAGTCACGAAGGGGGCGGCGCAGCGGGAAGGAACACCGTGTTCCGGGTGATTCGGTCGTCTCTTATTTACTGATCTAGCAGCTCACAGAGCTGCTGCTGGGACGAGCGCTCGCGCTGGCTGTCGCGGTGCTGCTGCTCGGGCCTCCCAGCCGTCTGCAGCCCAACTGGGGTGGTTTTTCCGCAGGTTCTGGCACCGTTGCTCCTCCTGCTCGCTCGCGTGCTCCTGGCCGCGCGCTGGCCGTGGCGACGCC